CACCTGTCCCCGCGGGGGCGCCCGGGGCGGGCCGAGCGCAGGGCCCGCGGGACTCTCGGTTATCCAGTCGTTTCATCATCCCGAAACCAGCGGCCGGGGGACGAAGGCAGCCTCCTGTCCAAATTTACATGTAGAGAATGACGTTCTTAAATGGCGGGATAAAAGGGAGGGTGTAGTGTGCTTCCATCTTTTCAAAGTACAAAATCCCTCTGTATTTACATATCTCTAGGTGTCCTTGTAAATGCACTGAAAAAATTCCGAAAGGAGACTCAAGAAATTAGTAACAATGGTAACCTCTGAGGAGAAAAACTGAGTATACTTCCCCAGGTCAGGTGAGGGAAGGAGTTTTTCTTCCCTGTAGACCCTGGTCTGGTTTGGATTTTATTCTTGAAAAAAACACGCTTGTTTGTAACACCCCCTCAAATGGAATACGGCAGCAAGGAGCCCACCCTCCCTTTCTCCCCACATCCTTTGATTCTGTGCCGTCTACCTCTGGTTCCCTTCCACCTCTCCTCCGAGTCAGACTAGTTTTAGCTCCAAATTCCATCCGTCTTTTGGATTGTCCTTGAGTCTGGTGAAAAATTTGTTTACTCTAACCTTTGTTATTTTGAAATCTGGCTGTTCAGAGAACTACATAGAACTTGAGAAAAAATGCAATCTCCATGTTTTTCTCAAGTAGACGATTTTCACCATCCCCACACGTTTTAAAGTGTGGGAATTCTGATTTTCTTCAGGCATTAATCTCTTATTGTCATGTGTGTTTTTTAGAAGGAGAGGGTATTTAGTGCTCTAGTGATTAGAGAAAATAAATGAAAGCTTCCACAAGCCCCACTGTAAGGCTAACATTTGTTTAGCCCAGCTCTCATACTCTAATACCTTTTAAAGTAAAATATTTTACAGTTAGATGCCAGACATCTTAAGTATCCAAGTAATTTATTTAATTGTTATACTCTAATTAGCAGGAACAAACGCTGCACATGTTGTTTGTGTTAAATAGATTAGAGTGAAATTGCATCACAATGTAAGTCTGACACCTTAAAGAGAAGCAATTAGTTTTATGGTTGTTTTGTTTTTAATGCATTTAAAATAAAGTGGCCGAGGTTAATTTAATGAGTGTATGTGCCTTAAACTTGTTATAGCCTCCCACAGCTTAAACTTCTCTTCAAAGGGCATCTTTAACTTCAGTGCTTGACTCCCTATAGTTTTTATTTTTCTTACATGCATCATATTAAAAAAAAAGTGCTAGCTGGAAAATATTCCAAGGAAGTTCCTTGTTTTCATGTATTAGCTAGTGTATGAACAATGAAACTGATTCTTACTTTTTGGAAAGGCACATTGAGCTGAGTACTAACTAGCTGAGCTTAGAAAGGTAACATTTTCTCGAGATTGAGCAAAAACTGGCAGAATAGGAGCCATTTAGGTTCTAGTGGCATTATAAACTTGATCTAGTAACATCCATATTTAGATAGTGGTGTGAGTTTTGTGCGCTTACAGTAAAAAAAAAAAAAAAACCAAACCCTCAGTTTTTAACATCTCTAAGTCTATTAGTTTTCCTTCTGTGTGGCAGGTGTCTGGGCAGTGACCAAGGTCAGTCAATGTGCTTTGTAAATGGGTTATAAATGATACCAATTGAAGGGTGTGTCTATCAATTACTTCTCCTTGTGGGCTTCTTATTTATGGTTTTGCTGAATCTAGGTTAGTTCTCAGAAATAGAATACTGAACCAAAGTTTGTTTAGCCAGCAATACAGAACCAATCACTGTGAATTTGAACCTGTAATACATTGCAAAATAAGAGATTTATGGTGTAACTTGAATTCCTTGTCAGTGATGAATATAACTGAGATCACTTGTTACAAGGAACTTTTATAACCCACTCACCTTCATTTCACATGTTTATGGGGACTGACTTCACTTATGATCTGCAGTTGACTGTCATAAAGCCCTTTGTTATAATGGCAAATTCTGATAACAAGTTTGCCTCACATTGGCTCCAAATTCCACTGGAAACTGTCATAAATGACCTGTTTATAAAATGAACCTTCCTGTCCCTAGTTTACTGATTTCACATTTATGAAGAGACAGGAGTGTTCTGGGAAATTATTTTCTTTTAACCATAAAGGCTGGGGCTGGGGGAAGGAAATAAAGAAGCCCTGGTGTGTACTTTTTTTTTTTTAATGTTTTCATCATTTTAACAAAGCAATTCCCCCAAATAGCTCTATTATCTAGGCATGCTCATTTCAACCAAAAATGTGATGGTGTTAAGAGGCTGCCTAGTCTGCCTTTGGTTTTATAACTTGTCTGTAAAGGTAATGTTGCAGTAATATTGACAGGATGTGAATTGTAAACGCAAAATTCAATTTTAGTTTTTAAATCTGCCAACAAAGAATTTGGAAATCTGTCTTTTAACCTGAATGTTCAATAGATGCTCAATCTATATTTTTGTTTTCCATTCTTTATATTTTTCTTAAATTAATCATCATGGCTGACTTCCCTGATTCTGTATCTTTCAACTTGCTTTTGTCCCTGGATTTTCCCCATAGTCATGGCACAATTTTTAGTTGCCTGGCTAGGTAATTTAAAGACAAATTTAGATTTTTGCCACTATAGGCAGAAATTTATCCTAGCTTAAATTCCCCCTCTTTATAATTCACACATAATAATTTAGAGGAAATAAATTCCATTTAAGGATGTTATGGGTATAAAGGGAACAGGGAAATCAGAGTGACAATGCCAGGCTGTTGGTCTTTTCTGATAATACCATTTAACCGTTTGAGTGAAAGTTGAGTACTATACTGACAGTAATAAAATATAGCAGTATCACCATATATAAGACAATGCCAGCACTAACACCATGTCGTAATATTTGCATTTCCTTTGTAAAATGGATAATACAGAAATTCAGGCAATAGGCGGTCATGATAATTAATGAGATGTATTAAATATATTTTACAAAAATTTTGTGCATTTTCCAAAATCCATTTCTATTAATACATATCAGCCCTTCTACAATTTCTGGTTTGTTCCTCTGCAAATATCTGAGGACTGATTATCTCAGTTTTCAGATGAGGTGGGGACTCCCCTAAGGCATTTAACACATTGGCAGGCAGTTTTTGACTGCATTTCCTTACCCTTATATCTCAGGCCTCTGACAACTGCGGTGCATGCAGTCATTGGCAACATTGTGAGTGCTGTAATCTATGCTAATAGGCTGGAGCAAGTCAAACGTATACATTGGATGGAGCACTCTATGGTCCAGGAAGGGCAACCTAATTACACTTCAACTTTTTTCTCAGGGAACCTCTTATTTGTAATAACCAGGTACATGCTTGTTGATGGCAGAGATGAGACATGGTGATGTATGTAGCATATGCATACAAACCACTTGTATCTGTACACTTAACTTTCTTCTGCTGCTTTCTAGCCTTCCTCCCGGCGGCTTGGATTGTCCTGTGCCAACTGTCACACCACAACCACCACTTTGTGGCGCAGAAACGCTGAGGGTGAACCCGTGTGCAATGCTTGTGGACTCTACATGAAACTCCATGGGGTGCGCTGCATACTCTGTTCATGTGTATACGTGTCTGATGTCTTGTTTGTACATGGTTTCAGTTAAAAAAAATCAAAGGAGAGGGCATGAAAATGAAAAATCTGATATTCTATATGAACTTTTGTGAATTTAGGGTCCTGTTAATTATAATAGAAACTATTATCTTACATACTAGTAAGAAACAAACAAAATGCTGCCAATTAAACTTTCACACATCCAGAGTAGGACATCCCAATTTTAGAAATACCAAAATGTGGGAAATGTATATTTTAGAATTGATAACATGGTTTTAACCCTTTAAAAAGTAGTACATTTAAGAAGAAAAAAAGTATGGAACAAACTAGAAGCGCACTAGTTTATATCTTAAAGTTAAACTAGTTTATATCTTAAAATTTTGAATATAATCAAATACTTTTATACAAAAAGTAATAATATATTTGACACTTATAGTTGGCACAAGGATAGCACAGGATATTATAAATACATCAGTTTTAAAAAAGAAAAATAACCTTGGTATATGTAAGAAAAAGAATACATGATCTCTTTATAACAATAAACATTAAGTTGAAGGAATACATTCTCCCTGGCAAATCACCCCATTTTTTTCTGGAGGAATCTCTGCATTTGATGGGGAAAGTGTAGTCTTTGTGCAGCTGAAATCTATGAAGTGTGTATAAAAATTGGATTGAAATTTATGCCAAGTTCTTTTAAATAAGGGCTTTCAGTACTGATGTTGGGTCTTTAGTTAGTTTGGTTTTTCTTCAATGTATTTATTAAACTTATGGCCTATGTGAAATTTTTTAGGTGCCTCGACCGCTTGCTATGAAAAAAGAGGGAATTCAAACCAGGAAACGAAAACCTAAGAACATAAATAAGTCAAAAGCTTGCTCTGGTAAATATAACAAAATGCTATTTGACTGTAAAGTATTTGCCAACCTTAGCAGTTGAGTATATGTGTATTTATGAGGTCAATTTTGACTATTGCAGGTAATAGCAATAATTCTGTTCCCATGACTCCAACTTCCACCTCTTCTAACTCCGATGATTGCAGCAAAAATACTTCCCCTACAACACAACCGACAGCTTCGGGGGTAAGTGTATAGACTCTTTCTAAGCTGGAGAGTTGGTATATTATCTCAAATTTTATCTTATCTGGTAGTACAATAATCTAAACCAACAGTTCAGTTTAGGTAGCTGATACCTAAGAATAGTTTTTAGAGGAAATTACATTTAATTGTCAACAAAATGACAAACTTAAGTACTTTACAAACCTCTTAATTAAGAGCTACGCCATTTTTTTTATGGTTAAATTGACCTAAGTAAAAGCAAGAAGTTTTGGTTTGAAGTGCTTTAAAGTGTTTTATTTCCTGGTTTTTATCTGAGTTGATATCTATATTTGTCTGTCTATCTATATTTCTAATATAGATCAGAAAAAGTACCAGCTCAGTGGTTTCATATATCCCAGTGTCCATGACATTCAGATTGCTTTTGTTTGTCCTGTCATCTCCAGCCTTCTTTCTTTTTCTCTCTTTTCTCTTCCTTCCTTTTTTTTTTTTTTAAATCTACCCAAAGCAAAGTGCATCACAATGCATCACGTGCTGCTGTATTCACAGATCTTACGCTAACTGTCCTGCTGGGCTAGACAGCATTGCCTTCTTCCAATGCACCCTAACTGTACCCAGGCCTATCTCAACCTTGCGACTGGCCTGTAAGCAATTCGGTTCGTGAGTGATTTATGCAGAGGACGAGGATGCCAGCCAGGCTCTTTGTGAAGATCACAGACTTAGTTTCAGTAAAACTGATTGAAACTCAGTTTTTCTCAAGTGAAGAGCACTTTCCCACCCTCATGTTTCCCAAATTTACCTGGAATGTCCTTTAGAAATGACCTGGCCTCACCCGGGTCCTCAGGGATACCCAGGGTGGGACCTGGGCGGGTGCCCCAGGTGATTCGTAGGATTACACTGAGACTAGTTTAGGACGAAACATCAGCATTACAATCCCTACGTACTTAGTAATTGTTTTCCACAATTAATTTTGCTTTATTTCTGGTACTTTGAAATACTACGGATTCCTGGGCCCCACCCTGGGTTTTCTGAGTCAGAGCCTCTGGGGGTGGGGCTTGGAAATTTGTGCTGCAGGTAAAATTAAACTGCTGCTCTCAAGGTGTCTTTGAACTAGGAACTGTAGATTTTCGTCATTATTTTTACTGGCTTAAACAAAGAAAAATTAAGCATTAAATTTTTTTAAAAGAACTGTTTAAAACTATATTTGATATTGTTATTTGTCCTCTGACTCAAACTCTTGGGCTTTTTCCTTCATGAACGAGACGTTTTTCAGAGTTTCACAAGGCAAAAAACCCTTTCTGTTTCTGTTTGTTGCAGACACATGTTCTTAAAGAATGTGTCTATTCTTTTTAAAGGTGGACTCTGGTGAATGACGGTTTTACAGGAGAGTAAGATGTAACTTTAAGGATCTAAAATGGTAAATAAAACAGTTACTTGCGAGGAACTGAAAAGATCAATATTATTTTAAAATCTTCTTGATTATGCTCTAAGTCCTCAGAAGCAGTTATCTAGCTTAAATGAAGCAAAACAGTGCAGTATTGTGGTTTTCCAGAGTGTTGATCAGCCAGGGTTTCGGTCTCGGCTTCAGTGTCTGTCTGAAATGTGGACTGCCAGCTCGGTGATACAGTCCAGCCTTAGCATGGCAAAAGCTAAATCTGAATGATAAACGGCGCAGAAATAGAGATATTTGCCCAACAATGGGCTTTGGAACCATAGTGGGTGGAGTCTGTTTTGCTCTCTTGGTTTTGTGATGTAAAATTTCAAAATTGGCTATTTGCAAGTCCGATCAGTTTTGCCCTCCAGGGGAGGAACGGTGCAAAGGCAGTGACGGGGTCTGGCCCGGGCCTGTCTGGTAGGGGACCTCAGGAGTTCTGCAGCTGGTCCTAGGGCAACTTTGGTGTCCAGGCATCTCTCACTCAGGACCCAGTAAGCCAGAGGCGGCTGGCTGGCCAGAGCCTTCGGGGAAATGCTCAGTTCCCTACTAGAGGCCAGGAGGCAAGGCAATTTTAGTATTAAAAAAAAAAAACTTTAAAAAATACTTTAGAGATTGGGGGAGTTGGAGAACAGTTCCCTACAAGGTCTTTTACTGCAGGTTCCCTGTCACTCCCTGAGCCCGGGCAGCCTCCCCAGGAACAGCTGTGTGAGCTGCAGACAGGGAGGCAGTTCTCTGAGTCCAGGTGGCCTCCCTCTGAAATGCTTTTCTTGAAACACCGGGGTTGAGGTGGGGGTGGGAGGATTGCCCTCCCTCTTTTCCTTCCTCCGGGGATCCAGCCCTCCTGGCCCGGCTGGCACCGGGGCTAGTGGGTTTTCTGCCGATGGTGAGCCCATCCCGGATGTCTCCCTCCATCAGTGCCTACCTGATGTGGTTGTGGTTGGAACCAGGCCTACCTGGCAATCTGCTGGCTGCCTTCGGAAACTATCCCCCTCCAAGAATAATTATAGTAGACTCAGTGGTTTCCCCGGGGGTGCCAATGTATGTCCTTTGGTTGGTCCCTTGGCACTTTTCAGAGCCTTCTCTGGGCCGGTGGCTTCCTCGTGGTCAGCATGGCAGCTGAGGAGCCGTGGGGCAGAAGCATTTGTGAAAGGCGTTCTGTTGACAAAGATGTTTCATCTTCTCATTTTGGGTCCCAGTGTATGACATTGGAGGGCAGCTGACTGCTTGCTTATGGGATTCTGTGAAGTGTCATAGGTGAGGGGCTGTTATATCCACATGGCAAGGTTGTATCTGGGACGCAGTACGAGGTGCCTTCAGCGTGGCGGTTAAGCTTCCTGTGATGACGGTCCGTCCTGCTGATCTCCAGCGGCCCCTGTGACTGGAAGTTAGTAGTGCAGGGTTGTCTTAGGTTAATAGGGACAACCAGCTACAAAACAAAGGGCAATGTTTGACATACTCCCAGGGGAACAAGGAAACTGGGGTCACACGTTCTATGTAGAGATGTTTAAGTGGCAACATAGCTGCTCCTCCACCTTTTCTTTAATGACTGTGAGTTACTGCACAAAAGACGGAGACTGTTGCAGCATAGGATCACACTTGCTCTTTTAATTCTTCTCTGGGAAGTCAGCTTAGGAGATCACCAGGAGGCGTTTCCAGCAGGCTTCTTCTAAGCCCTGATGGCCCTGCCCTGCCTTGCATGTGGGTGTATTCAGTGGTGGTACCAGGTCAGCACGTACCCTGGTTCCGAGCAAGTCTGGCAGGGCCCGAGTGTACTGGAGGGAGGCACTGACAGTGGGGGCTCCGGGGCTCCCTCCCCAGCAGGAGTGAAGGTGTGGGCAGGACTCCTAGGACACAGTGTTCTTCCAGAACAAATGTCTAAGTGCCATGAAAATCATTTTTGCACTGCTCTGAAGCCTCATTTCGTTGACTTTTTGGCATTTCTTCTCTTTACGTGCTTTTACTGCTCTGCGTTTTTTAAAAACTAGATGTCTGTCTTATTCCTTCTGATGGTCATCAGGTCGCTAACTCGGCTCCCTTGAGACTCAGTTTCTGGGTTGCAGGCTGTGCAGGTGTAGGTTCTGGAGGCAGCTGGGAGGGCAGCTTCCTGTATGAGAACAGGAAGACCTGCTGCTGCTCCCGCACAGCCTGGTGTTAAAATAGCCCCTGTCTTGCTCCTTGGGAATTCTTTTTTTTAAGTTGCAATAAGTGATTTATTTGCTTTCCTTTATATAGTATTTGCTATTCATTGGACCTTATTACTTTTCATTTTTTCCTTATTTTTTTCTGTATTGATTAGAAACTTAATCAGTTTCTTGTATGGGAAGTCTTTGTGTTAAGAAACTTAACACACTGAACTTAATTTTTGATAGAGTTGATTAATTTTTGTGACTTTTGAGCTTAAAGATAAATTTCCCCAGAATAATCTTTCTGTCTAAAATTTTCTTTCATGTGTAGATTTACTGAAAAATGACCTAAATACACACCAGATTTTCTTTGGTATTTATATTCTCTATGTATTATAAGAATATTTACATCTTTCATTGAATTCTATTTATTGACTGAATTATATTCTACAGTGTTCATTGTTATTGTTCTTAGGAGGCAAATATGGTAACATTCTATTTCCAAATAAGGTTTAATAAGTAGTCTCTATATTCCTATCCCTCTTACGACAAGTAACTAAAATTTTATAAAACTAGAGGATACTTCACATACATACATGTATATAAAAAACTTGTATATATAGTTAGATATGTATGTAAAATAATGTATATAAACTTTCTAACTTAATGCCCCACTTTTAAAGGTAAAAGATATTTTTCTTAATTTCCTTTGGGACAGGAAGGCTTAATCTGGTGGTAAAATGAGCAGTAAGGCAATGTCTGAGAATAAGAAGTCACTGAGCATAATTTGCCTTCCTAAAAGTAGTTCTATAATTATTTAACAGAAACTAAAACCCACTTAAGTTTGTATTAAACCTGCAAATATAATGTCGACGTTATCATTAAATATGTGATGTTGAAATAGATGGAGGTGAACTATTTCTGACTAGCCCTGCCTTGTGGTCATTGTTCCATTTAAGAAGTATTGGGCTGTGGGAGGCCCTGTTTACCACTGAGTAAAACAAGGTTCTGGACGTTGGATTGTTCCCAACGTAGGTAGTGGTAGTGGTAGTGGTGGGGGCACCTACGTAGAGACAGTTCTTACTGCTGCTCAGATTTGGAAGTGCTTTAAAATGAGCAACGAAGTGGGGAGCTGTGAATTGTGACTGCAGAGCTGGGAATGGCTTCGCAGAGGAGAGGACATTTGGATTGGTTGAGTGGGGTGTTTGCAGGGGAAAAGCTGGGATAGGTGTCTCTAGGAAGGAAAATAACATGGGCAGCTATGATACTCCAGGGACATAGTTTTAGGAATTCAGTATGGCTGGACTGTAGGGTGTAAAAAGCCAAAGGCAGGAGATGAGGTGGATAAATTAGATGGAAGGCAGATAATTAAAGCTGTTTGAAGTCAATATTAAGTCAGCCTTAAGTAGGATCCACACTACATTCATTTCTAAAAGATGGTCTTTCTCTAACACCCAGTGCAGTGATGA